CTTTGCTGATGACATTGTTTTAATAACACCAAACATCAGCCAAGCGGCACAAATGCTGGCCGACTTTGACCGTGAGTGTGGAAAGGTAGGACTACAGCTGAATCTTACGAAGACAATGTTTATGAGAAACAGCCTTGTTCCTGACGCCCCATTCGCTCTCAATGGAACGACCATCTCCGAATGCAACAGCTATGTGTACCTAGGTCAAGAGGTCAACATGACAAATGACCTGGCACCCGAGCTGCGCAGGAGGAAGAGAGCGGCTTGGAACGCCTTCAAGAACGTCGAAGAAATAGCTAAGAGGACGAAGAACCTCCGGCTCCGGGCACATCTCTTTGATTCCACTGTTCTTCCTGCATTAACATATGCCTCAGAGACCTGGGCCCTACGCAAACAAGATGAGAACGCCATTCAGGTCTCCCAAAGAAGAATAGAAAGAGCTATGCTTGGAATATCACGTTTCACTCAAATGAGAGAACGAATCCGGAGTTCTGACATCCGTCGACGATCAAGGATCAGGGACTCTGTCTCATATGCCAAGGTGTCGAAAATCAGATGGGCTGGTCACGTAATGAGATTTAAAGACGACCGTTGGACTAGAGCTGTTACTGATTGGATTCCACGGGATGTCAAAAGACCGCGTGGCCGCCCACCTACCAGATGGTCAGACTTCTTTGTCAAGATCATGAACGATCGGTTTGAGGCCCTCCATGTTCCCGGAGCGAAGAGATGCCATTGGGCTACACTAGCACGCGACAGGGACAAATGGAGACGTTACTGGCGCCCGCTCGAGCAAATCGACGACTAACGGGAAGTTAAGTGATTAAGTGATTAAGTGACTGTACCTATGCTAAATTAAAAGAAGAACAATCCAGCAGCCTACTTCCCCCCAAACTGGCATCAAAACCAAGTAGCACTGTAGCACTGTCCTCTCGTTGTTCATGGATTTGCTCGAGCGGGCCCGGTAACATTTCCATTCTGAGACTTGTTGTTACTGTGTTTGGCATATCAAATATGCCACGTGGAGTTTGCCAGGCTTTGGCGTGCAGGTGGGATACTCTCGGTTGCTTGCCGGGCTCTCCAAGAAGGGCAAAGGAATTGAACCCGGCTTGGTTGGGCCTGCCATGCGCAAGGCAAACACCTTACCCCTGTGCTATAGCTTCAGCCATAGCTAGTCCGAAAGTAGTGAGTGGTCGCAAGGTCAACCTAAAGTCAACCTGCAGCAAACTATAAACTAAATCAAAACCAAGTAGAGCATAATAATTGGTTGTGTCTCCTTTGTCCTTAATCTATGATAGTTCCTCAAATATCTATGTTTTCTGGGTCCTTGTCACTTTTAAAGATACATGATTTCTCCAGATTCTTCAGAGGCTAAGGACCTAGAAAGGATACCCAAAAGTGAGAACCTCTCTTCAGTGCTGAGTGTCAGCGGGTATTAATATGTTTTACTTCTGATGCTGGCTTGTTTTAGGTGATATCTGCCAGGTTTTTCATGGTAACTTAATGTTTTTCCTTTTGTAATAAATAGATATTTGGGAGGAATCCCTGGTGTTTTGAGGCATTAGTTAGATATTTTTCCTTTGAAAATAGTTTTAGATATGACAGTCATTGAAGACTCAAAACCATAGTTTTTACAGGCTTATACATGAGATTGTGCTTATGTGCTTATCTGACAAAAGATCTACATAGATCTTCCCTGTAAACTAATGTGTAGCTAAAGTCTTCAAATACACACTTACCAGGGGCTAAGAGGAGCAACAGACAAATAAAGGGCATCTAAGTAAGAATAACGCATAAGTATAATGACGTGGAACAACACATATTGAGGGTCTCTCAAGTTCTAATTACTAAGCTATTTGAATTTAGGTAATCACATGTCTAAAAGTTTTAAGAGTTATATACTCACAAATTGGCATCTCCAATGGGTATGAAAGGAACTTTTTTTCAGAATGGACCACCTAATATTGATGAGGACTTATATCCTAATTAGAGCCCTGATCTTCATGAGTCACATAATTGAAAAGTAAATCTCATGGAAAGTATTTCTCTGGAAGATACTATGATGCAATACTGACTTTAAAGGAAGGAAAAAGAAGAAACAGTAGTCTTTTCAATTAATTGTAAACATTCAAACTATAATATTCAAAGGAGAACAAGAAAACAGTTCTACTTGTTTGATGTCTGTAGAACAAAGTTTGCTGTGCAAAGCTGAAAAAAAGATCAAGCATTTTCTTTGTTTTATTTGAAACATAGTAATTAGGCTACAGAGAACAGTGGAATATTTTCTTATAAAAGACTGATTCACAAATTTGGCTAATATTACCATGTTATGCTAATTATCTTATTTGAGAAGGATTTTAGGAGCCAACAGGAAAAAAAATCAATAGCAGCAACTAGGGAAATGATTTGGAATCTTTTTATTTCAGTTATAGTTTTGTTCTGTATGCATATTTTGACCAAGTTCAGGTAACATTTTAATTTGAGAACCAGCCAGGAAGTATTTTAAAATCCTATTTCTAGTAAATACTAAAACCTTGTTTTACATGAAATAAAAGAAAGAATGTGGTAAATTGATCTCAATCAAGGTTAGTTACTGAAGTATTGTTAACAAGGGTATTGTTCAAAGTTAATTGTCCTAGGCAGAATGAGGCTCAGCAGTGAAGCAAACAACTTGCTTGCATGAGACCTAAGTTTGAACCCCTGAACCACCCCCTCTAGAACAATTCAGAAAGCTAATTGTTCTACAGCAAAAGGCTGAGAAAGGAATGGAAGTTTGTTTATATGAGACTGGGTGGTACTTCATGTCAGAGTTCATGGAAGGGGTGATGTTTAATCATTACATACATAGAGATTTCTCCTTTAGAAGTTCATAGTTTAACAAAGCAAAGGTTGAGAATATCTTGATTTATTTAATTCTAGTCATTTAGATTTTACACGATTTAGAATGCTACCATTTTTTAATAGGGGAGGCAAAATAAAATTATCATTTCTGTTCTGTGAAAAGCAATAAAAGATTTCTTTGTCAGGAATACCATTTCATTGAAAGACTATTGTTTGTTGTCTTTTATGTGGTAGTATTTCATTGAAAGGTTGAATATTGTCCTACATAAAGCAGGTAAGCATATAGTACGCATGGAGTACCCATAGGCATAAATAGGGTGGGGGGAAATGCCTTTTAAAAAACAGTAGAGAGGCAGGGTCAGAACAATAGAATAATGAGTAGGGCTCTTTCCTTGTATTGCACCTGACCTAGGTTCATTCCCCAGCACTCCACACTGTTCCCTTAACCCCGTGAGGTGTGATCCCTGAGCGCAGAAGAGTAAGCCCTGAGCACCTCCTGGTGTGGCCCAAGAGTTTAAGACAAAAGTAGAGGGACCAGTTCAGCGGTTAGGGTGCTACCCTTGCAATCAGTCAACCCAGGTTGGATTCCGGTTATCACACACGGTCACTGGAGCCCTCCAGGAGTAAGACCTGAGCACCACGGGTTGTGCCCACCCCATCCCACCCGTCATCCAAAGACTAGGGATACGTGACAGTTTACCCAGTTCTCCAGTTCCTGCTACAGAATTATTTTCCTCTCTTCATCTACTGAGAAGAATGAGGGCCTTATTCCCTCTCGAATTCCAAATGAGTCTGCCCAGTGCATAACTTCACAAGTAGCAAATTAAATGGAAGGCAAACATAGGAACAGGATGCGGATTAAGTAAACATGAACAGGATACCGCTCTCTTGCAAAATCTTTTTTCCTTAACCTAAGATTTAACAAGTATCACCTCCCATGAAACCAATCATAGTTTTTTTCCTCGCCAGTCATTTTTGTTTTAACACACGACCACCAAAACTTTTTGTATCATTTTCTTTTACGTTAGCAGTTGAGTCGCTAAAATCAATGTAAATTTCCTTAGCTTTATGCGCCCTTAGATAATTCTGTAACATGCCTTTGACTGAAGAAAATGAAAATGCTGCATGAAGAGTCCTAAATAGCTAAAAGGGTCAGCATGGGGGGTGGGGGGGGCCTGGGGGAGCACTTTTGCTTTTAAGTCCGAGGTCAAACAGTTCTTGCTTTTGATCTCGGGTTACTTCACCATCCAGTTTATCCTGGGCTTGAAGGGAGATTTTCCGAGCTGATAACGTTGCCTTGCTGCCGTCTAGAGGAAAAGAGAAGTGATCCCCGAAATACTTAAAACTTGGTCGGATCCTCGAGCAACCATTCCCGGCTGTCGCCTAAAGCTAAAAAAAAGTATCTCACGCCGGACAGTGCTCGTTCCCGACACCGCCAGACACGGCAGCCGCTCCACCAGGCTTTCCACCTGTCTCCCCACCTTTCGCCCGCAGCCCCGAAGTTGCCTTTCTCCGGGATTCGGCAAGCTTTTCCCCGGGAGCGGATTCCTACACGGGCTTCTCCCGGCGGCCCGGCTCCACGTGACGTCCCCGAACACCTGTGCGGCCTCCCCAGCCTCAGGGCCGCCCCTCCCGGGGGTTCCCGGCAGCCGCCGGGTATCCACGCGCGCGCGCGCTCCCGCTCCCGCCCGAGGTCAAGGTCCGAGCGCGCACCCCGGGCACCGCGCGGCAGGGGAGGGGCCGAGCCGAGCCCCGGCAGCCGGGTTATCACATGACTCGACGGCGGCGGTAGCCGTGGCAGCAGCCGCGCCGGCTCCGCGGGCTCGCGGGTGGGCTCAGTTCCGCTCAGGCAGGAGTCGAGCGCCGCGGGCGGGGAAGGGACCGGCGGCGGCGGCGGCGTCCCCGGGCCGGGCCAGCCCGCTCCATGCCGCTCGGGGGCGGAAGTGTAGCGGGGGGCGGCGGCGGGCAGCGCTGGAGGCCTGGGCTCGGCCCCCTGCAGCTCTAGAGGCTCCGGGAGGCGCGCGGCACGCCCCAGCGGCCCGGGAGCGCTCGGCGCCCGCCGCAGCCTGCATGCCCGGAGCTGCGCCGCGCTCGGCCGCCGCCCCCGCCGCCCGCCGCCCGCTCCCACCGCTGCTGCCGCTGCTGCTGCCGCCGCGGCCGGGCGCCGGGGTAATATGCTCACTCGAGTGAAATCTGCCGTGGCCAATTTCATGGGCGGCATCATGGCTGGCAGCGCAGGCTCCGAGCACGGCGGCGGCGGCGGCGGCAGCTGCGGCGGCGGCGGCTCGGACCTGCCCCTGCGCTTTCCCTACGGGCGGCCCGAGTTCCTGGGGCTGTCTCAGGACGAGGTGGAGTGCAGCGCCGACCACATCGCCCGGCCCATCCTCATCCTCAAGGAGACCCGGAGGCTGCCCTGGGCCACTGGATACGCGGAGTGAGTGCGGCGACCCCCGCGCGGCGCCCCGGCTCCGCTCGCGGCCCTTCCCCGCACGGTGCCAGCCCCCCTGCTGGGCTCTCGGGGGGTGAGGGGCGGTCCGCGGCCCCAGGGCTGTCCGCCGGCCACCGGCGCCCAGGCCTCGGCGGGGACCTCTGTACTTAACACTGGCCATTTCCCTCTTCAACCTCCTCCTCCCCCGCCCCACTTCCCCCCGCCTCCAAGAACGCGGCGCCTGCAGTACCAGTTAGGGGGTCGGAGAGGGGTGGTGGTGGCTGGGTGGCCGCCCTGGAGCGTGGGAAAGCGAAGGTGGCACGGGCCGGTGAACCCGGGGTGCTGCGATCCCAACAGTCCTGCGCAAGTTGGAAACACGGCAGGAGAATCCAGGGTCTCTGTTCCCCCGTCCCATCTTTGTGTCTCCCCGTGAAGTTTGAGGGACGGAGCCCCGGGGAGCTGGCGCATCACCTGCCTGCGGGCCGGGTGCTCGGGCCCCGGGGACGCTGCAGGGTTCGCGAGCGTTTTCGCTTCTTTCACAAGGTCTTAGATTTCCCAGACCTCGGCCGGAGAGCTCAATCACTTCTCCATTAGCAGGGGGTGAAAGTGCGTGCGTCCTTCCCGGAGAGAGGAAACTTACTCCAGTGTGCAATCACATTTTGGTAATCCGCTTTGGCGATGCAGGGAGCGTTAGTACTACATTTTGTAGAAACGTTTGGGTTACCTGCCTAGTAGTGCTGGAAAGGAGGCTTTTAATGGGTAATGCTCCCTATCTCCCCACTCACTCTATTGACTGTTACAGACCATAAGATTTTTTTTTTCACACTATTGAAGGGGGACTGTAAAACTGGGAAACTCTAGAATTGGAATTTAGGAGGCCAAAGCCCCAGGGTTAATAATGAATGACCCAGTGGATGCACAAGTGCACGCAAAACCCTAGTACCGTTTTATAATCTTGTCCGGCCCCTCCCCGCCTCCGTGGCCGGTTGGTTTGTCCGAGGACCAATCGGTGCTCCCGACGCTTGGGCGCTTTGAGACTGACCCTGTTTGGTGGCCCGAATACCCGCACGAGGCGTGGTTGCGATGCTGCGCCATTCCGGTGCGGGTGAGGACTTAGAGGACACTCTTCCTGGGCTCTCGAATTCTCCCAGTCTTCTTTTTTCTTCCTGGAACTTGTTTCTTCACAGGCCGATGTGAGAAATGAGTGTGAGTGGGACAGACTCCTGGAATATGAAAAAGGTGCAGAAGTGAGAATGATGGGAGCTCAGAAAGTAAAAGAAGACTGCGGCAGGGAATGGGAGGAAAAGGGATGGGGAGTGAGGTGAGGGGAAGGGGAGGGGAGGTTGTGTGTACGAATATCTGTGTAATTTACAGGAGAAAACCAAAGCACTGGGGAAGATCTAAAGGAGGAAGTGCCTGCTAAAACGCACAAGCACTGTGTCTTGACTGTATTCACACACACACACACACACACACACACACACAACTTCAAAGCACACCTGCGCCTTTGCAAGACTAAAAAACAACATCACACCGTCCATCCTACAGCTGTGTAGGAGAGGCTGTAATGTCTGCCAAAGACCTGAATGGTAGAGCTTCCCCGTTCTCCCCAGTAGGCCTGCCTGGGGGCCCAAGACACCAAGTGGCAAGTGGTGTGGATGGCAGTTAACAGGTTAACAGGGAGATGTTAACACATGAAAAGAAGAGGCTACTTCAACACAAAAGGAATCCTCCCAGGAAAGCAGGAAGGAAAAGGAAAGAGCAGGAGAGACCCTTGCCCCTTGCCTGTAACTGCCACATTAAAGGACCTAAGGGAACCTGACAGGAGGCACGTGGGAGACTAAAACCTAGCCCCCTCCCACTACCCTTCAGAGTACTCCTTTTTCTTGTCTCTGAGAAGCTGATATTTTCTTAGACCAAGAAATGTTCCATTTGAAGGTTGAAAAAGCCAGGATGAAACATGTACATTTTAAGATAAATTGTCAAAAATGGCTCCTGTTTGTAAATTCAAGGTAGCACTTGTGAGCTGTGTTATATTGTGTTGTTGAGTGCTTTTCTAGATTTGCATCATGTACTTTTCTCTTTTTTGGACAAAATAGTCTCATGTTATTTGGTAGCAGTTTCACAAAACTCCGTGTCGTGATCTTCATTCCAATTCAGTAGATATAGGACAAATTTATTCTTTAAAAATATATACATAGTGCTGGCAATAACTATATAGTGCTTTACTTAATTCTTTTTTTTTCTTTTTGGGTCAATTCGGCGATGCTCAGGGGTTACTCCTGGCTCTACACTTGGAATTGCTCCTGGCGGTGCTGGGGGACCATATGGGATGTCAGGGATCGAACCTGAGTTGGCCACGTGCAAGGCCCCTACCCACTGTACTATCGCTCCGACCCCCTGTACTTAGTTCTTTAGGTTTCCCAAGTTTGTATTGTATCATCTCATCTGATTCTCCTGTCAACCACAGGTAGGCACTAGTATTTGCATTTTATAAATAAAGATTGGCTCAGCAATTTGTCTAGGGTCTTACCAGTTCAGTAGAGTCTGTGCTTGAACCCAGTCAGTTTGAGTCCACAATACCAAACAGTGTATTAAATTATGGAGTATCCATTCGTACCCAGGATTAACCACTGATTTCTTGCATTTCCCTTCTGTCAGATGTTGTCTGCTTCCTCAAATCTTAACTGTAGTTTATCTTCCTGCAAAAATACATCCTGAATGATTAAAATGGCTGAAATAGGGAAGGGCAGAGAAGGACAAGTAGGAACTGTGTCTATGAATAGAGACTACTCCCAGTGCCTCTTCCCTTTGCTACTGGGGATCTCCTGGGAGGAAGTTTTCTCCTGTTTGAGGTGGGGATAGAGCAGTTAAGAAGATTGCTCAAAGAGTGGCGATGAGAGGGATGCTAGCAAGTTGAGGCCTGAATTAAAAGTGGTTTGCTTACTTTTCTGGAAAGTGGGCCTCTTTATAAGTTTTCTTGAGAAAGAAATGGCATTACTTGATTGTTAAAAATCTTTGAGGGCGGCCAGGGGGAGGCCCCAACGGCTCTTAGCTGCCTGCGTTCGGGGTGCCTCGGGCTGCTCACCCAGCCAGGGCGGCCTGCCATGGGGCAGAGGTGGGCGAAATGAGGGCCAACCCAGTTGATTGATCAGTTGCCATTTATTCCATTCTCACCACGCGCCTGTCCCAGTCTCTCTGAGCCTCCCATTCTGGTCTCACACTGCCTCTCATTCCTGTCTCCTTCTGTCTATCCGGCTCAACTCTCAGCTCCATCTCGCAGCCTGGGCTCTCTCTCTCCACGTGCTTGCTCCTGTATTCTTCTTCTACATTCTCTCTCTTTCCCCCTTGCTAGCCTCTCCGCGGTCCATCATGCTGCCCTGCTTTCTCTTCCTCCAGCTCTCTAGCCTCTCCAACTCCCTGCACTCTGAGCTGACACTGCCCCCAGTTGTGTGGCAAAATCAACATAAGAAAGCCCTTCTTCATAAAGTAACAAAATAGGAGACTAATACCCAAGAATGGCCATTAGTACCAGGAATTTTGCTCCATGGCATGGAGGCCAGCCACACATGCTAGGGGAAAAGGCAGCTCAGGTAGAGAAGGGAGAACCAAATAAAGGGTGTTGGGAGGATCCTTCCAGGATGGGAGAAGCATGCTGAAAGTAGACTATAGACCAAACATGATTGCCACTCAATGCCTCTTTTGCAAACCACAATACCCCAAAGGAGAGAGAGAACAAAAGGGAATGCCCTGCCACAGAGGCAGGGTGGAATGGGGGGGGATGGGAGGTGGGAGGGATACTGGGATCCCTCGTGGTGGGAAATGGGCACTGGTGGAGGGATCATTTGATCATTGTATAATTGAAACCCAAGCACAAAATTTGTAAGTCTACAACTGTACCTCATGGTGTCTCACTAATAAAAAAAAAAAGAAAGCCCTTCCTGAGGGCCCACCTAATAGGTGTTCGAAAGCCCTCCCTGACTGCCCAAGGGCAAAATACCTCCTAAGGTGTTTTTCTCCTTTTCTTAGTCCAATAACTATCAACATATCAATAGTAGCTATTTTTGTATGGACACAGTAAGAGATCACATTGAGGCTTGTAGGGCAGCTTTCCTGGGAACATCTTGCCACAGACTCAGACTACAGCACTCAGGCCAGATTAATCATTACTAACCCTAGTAGGGTCCAAATTTAGTTATTACCTTTGGATCATGACAGTATTTGTCCATGCCCAAGCTCTTAACTCATTATAGTTGCTTTGGCCAGGCCCATCTTGAGGTCAGGGTAGCACATAGCTTACCGTTTGCCCTGGTTCCATCCAGTCCCTCCTTGGGACCCTGCTTTTGGGGGCGCTAGGAACTAAACGCAGCTGAGGCTTAGGTGAGAGAACAGATGCTCAGGAGGGAAATGTTACTGAGGGTCACATTACAAAAGCGTGTCTTCTTGTGTCCATACGAAAAAGACATTGCTCTGAATAAACTGTGCAAAGGACTTAGGGAGAAGAGAAAGACAATATTTACAAGTCAACAGAGCACAAAGAAAGTTACAAATAAACACAGAGGAATGGGAGCACTGTAATTGGAGCAAGCCAATAAACCTAAACTACCTGAGGCTATGCAGGAAGGACAAAACAGTGTTATCCTACACTTGATGATTGAGAAAATAGAGAAGGATTGAGTCCAGTATTGATGATCCTTTAATGGGGGGCAGGGCGCGGGAGGGGCACGCTTGGTGGTGCTCAAGGCCTATTCCTGGCTACATGCTCAGGACTAATTCCTGGTCATGCTCAGGGGACCAACTGTATTTGTTGTTCAGGGTCGAACCCAGGTTGGTAGCATGCAAGGCAAGCACCTTACCTTCTCTCTTCTCTCTACCCCCTGCAGACCCTAATACATGGTAGACGTTTTTAGAAGTGGCCTATTTTGATCATATTATGCTATTGAAGAAGCGATATAAAGTAGGTATGAAGTTTGAGAATTAATTTTGGCATTCTCTGTGAGACGTGG